AAATATCAGGTTGGCAGGCTCAGGAGGCACTACTATATTCTTCGGCACTTGCTCTGTTGCAATTTAAACCTAAAGAGTTGCAAATGCAACACAAACGGCCCAGTTGGGAAAGCAGTCACATGGGTAGGGGTTTTACAGACAAATTTTAAACCTCTTTTTTTTTTTTTTTTTTTTAAATTTTTATTTTGCAACAGATGACATGGGCAATGTTCCAGAACGAGTTACACTCCATCTCCCTCTTAGCCAAAAATAACCATTTAGGAAGAGAAAATAACATTTTCAGAGGTGTTTATAATCCCAGTCTAATCCATATGTGAAGCACAAACATTAATCTGAGCTAGTCATGTGACAACCTACTGCTTCCATTAAAAGTGTCACCTTGGGATTTTCTTAAGGCAACGATGTGCAGATCTCAGTGCCTTTGCCAAACTCGCCCTTCCACAGCCCGTGGCAATCTGTCTCTTCCCCATTTTGACCGTCAATGAGACTCAAACCGAAGTGTGAGAAACTTGACCGTGTACTTCATCCTCCCTCGCTCGCAGGGCCTGCAGATGGTGCCAGCAGTCGGCAAAAGCAACAGTTGGTCGCCTGCTTGGGGAACCAGCTGAGGACTAACTAGGAATCACCGGGGGAGCAGGGCTCTCCATGGCCCCAAGGGATCCCAATTTCAAGACTGCTGGAAGTCGAGGAAGCAGATGCAGGGGGAGTGTGCCTTAAAATATATTTTAGCTTCTGTGTTGTGATACTGAAAAGCTGAGGGAAGACTAACGGGGGGAGAGGGACCTTATACATTGTAGGTTACTTTTTCCGTATCCCTACCACATCTTTCCTCTGTACTGTGTGCTCTAGCTGTTAGCTTCAGTTTAAGACTTCTCAGTTAACAGAGTCCAAAAGAAAAGGAAAACCTTTTTCCCAGCAGTGTTCGCCTCCCAGAAGATGTCAGCATGGAGCCCAAGATGCCTTTTTCACCAGGGAAAAAGTGTGTCTGCCACCCATGCATCCAAAAGGCTCCCTGAATATTAAAACCAAGTGTAAATGCCTGCGAAATAGTTTCCCCGCTCTTCCCTGCTGTCCCTGTGTGTTGCTGTGAAGCTGGGAGGTGTAATGCACGCCTGGAATGCTGTTTGGGTGAGCAGATGTTTGGCTGTGAGAGCAGCCAGAGATTGTTAAGCTCTTTTCCATCTATAGAGCATTTCAGATCTGACTGCAGGCGGGAGAAGCAGCATGGTGATAGGTGAAGACCCTGATAAGAGCTAGCTTGGAGGTAAACTGCGGGAATGTGTTTTTCTTTTTGGAACACACATCTCCAGCCAGCAGCCTTCTCCATATGGGGCTTTTTTTTAAAGTATTTTCCCTGCGTTTTAAATATGCTGCAAATAAAGCTGTTCTGCTCATTGCACTGAATAAATAGTGACTTCATGCCCTAAAGAGGACTGGCTTCCCTCCCAGGTCTGCTGAAGTATCTAAGATGAGAATCTCAGGTAGGGTCATGCATTTTTCAAATGGTCGAAGAGTCTTTTTTACAGCTGCAGCACTTGCAAAGAATCCTACGTGCTCTTTCTGACTTGCTGCATGACACTGTGCCCACTCCCTATTGCTCTATGCCTCTTGCTTTGCAGTCAGGAAGATGAGGGATAGTTTACTCCAGGGATGAGGAAGCTTAGATTATTTGTATTTATAAAATGCCTTAAACCCCTGAAGTGGGGATGCAACGCAAGTGCGTAAACTGGCATAGCAAGCAGCTGATTTTCTTTATGAAACAGAAAGTAGCAGAAAGAGGTGTGATGGCAAAGGAGGAGGTCAGGAACACTTGTTCCCTGGGGCTGACTCTTTCAGATAAACAAAGATATAAAAAAAAAGGAGACACAGATAAAATAAGCACAGACTGTGTGTAAAACAAACCTGTGCCAGAAGGTCTTGAGCCAAGCCTGTATTTACAAGACCTCACGTGACCTGCAAATACTGAAGGACCAAAAGTGAGGGAAAATGGGAGTTTTTCAAGCATATACCTCTCCACTAAATACTTTTGGGCTGAATCACCATGAAAAGTTGCAGTGTTCAGAGCTATTTCATACAAAGAGTGGGACATTTGAGCTGAATGCATCGCTTTGAGGCTGTATCTCTGAAGGGAGATTGTGTAACATTTTGATAATTTGCCATGACTGTTGTGAAGAGCACGGAGCCATGTGATGTGCTAGTTTCCATTTGTAAAACCTGCATTTTTAAGTCTGTTGATGAATGTAAAAGTTGAGGATTGAGATCTCACAGGTGGAACCTCTAAATTTTCCTTTGCAGCATTGATAAATGCTGGCGGTGAGCCGGCAGCCCCCCTCCCGTGTCAAGTGGGACCACGCTTATTTTCATTTCTGGGCTAACTGCTTTTGGATTTTATTCTTCTTGATCACAAACAGTAAGAGTAGCAAAGGGTGCTTAGACCTTTCTGGGCTTTTCCAGCAGCATTTTCTAGCCTTGCTGTATCCAGTTATCAATACTTCATTCCTGCTAACGACTGATGGGTTAGAACCCGAAAGGCTGGGTTTTTTTCTTCCACAAAACATCTTGAAACCGGCTACATCTCACCGCGAGCTCCCGCACACAGCGGTGCCGGGTCTCGGGACGCTGTGTCCATCTCGGGACAGGGACTGCTGCCACCGCACCCAGTGCCACCTCTTCCTCGCCCTCTCCCTGGGGCAGGGCAGGTGCTGGGAAGGGTTTCTTATCTCTGCAGCCCCTCAGCCCCCGAGCTGTAGGGCAAATAAATACCCGCACGGGGCTATGGCGTGGCAGGAGTCCTCCACGCGACCTGCAACGAATTTAAGAGTGCGTTTTCGGGTGAACTTTCCCCGTGTTACTGCTCGAAGGGTGGTTCGGCAGCGCAGCCCCGTTTCAGAGGGGTGTGAGGAGGGTCGCTTCCTCAGCGGCTGGGCCTCCGCAGCCGCCTCGCTCCGGGAAGGAACGCGGCGCTGCTGCCCGCCGGTGCCAGGGCAGCCCCTCCGGCTTGCGGACCCTCCCGTCAGCCCGCCGGGCAGCGACCGGGCCCGGGGTGGCGGGGGGGGGGGGGAGCGGCTCCAGCCCGCGGGCGAGGCGCGGAGGGAGCGCGGCGGGGCCGGGCCGGGGCCTCCCGCCGGCGGGCGGAGCGGCGCCTGCGCCACGGCCCCGCGGGGACCCCCCGCGCCCGGCGTCTCGCGAGAGGCGGCGCCCGGGTAGCGGCGGGACGGGGACGAGGAGGAGGAGGAGGAGGAGGAGGAGGAGGAGGTGGGGAGAAAGGCTCCGGTGCCCGGGCGGGAGGTGAGCGCGGCTTGAGGGGCCGGGCGGGGCGCGGGTGAGGCGGTCCTGGCGGGAGGTGCCGCCCCGCGGCGGGCTCCGGTTATGAGCTGCCGCCGGGGCACGGCGTCCCCTCCGCGCTTCCCGGGGGGCCCGCGGCCGCGCCAAGGTAGGGCTGGGGATGGTTCCGCGGGCACCGGGGCGTCGTGTGGCGGGCCGGGCAGCCCCGCTCGTCCCGGGCAGCCCAGCCCGGCCTCACGGCTCGGCGGTGGCGGGGAAGCGGTTGGGTCTGTGGGTGTTCAGAGGTCTGCGGGGCGGGTGAGCGGCTCTGCCAGGCAGTTCCTCTTCTCCAAACCGTGAAACGCTGCATTTATCGCACCCTCCCCGGCCGCCGGTTCTGGGCCTGAGGGTTGGTAGCAGCCGGCTTGTGCGGTTTTCCTGTGTTGTTCTGCAGTCTGGGTTGCTCCTGGACTCGGGAGCATCTGCGGTCCGAGCGGCTGCAAGAGCAAACCCAGCAAACCGCTTCCTCGGCAGAGCGCTTCTGTCGACAGCGGAGCTGGGCTTTTAACGCTGCCTCACGGAGATGGCCGTTAGCGTGATCTAGTCCTGCTTGAACTTCGTGCACAAAACTTCAGTGCAGAGCTGATCTGTGTCTGACAGGAAGCTGGTTAAATCAGGTGTTTGTAAGGCCAGCGCGGGCGGTGCGAGTGGCAGGGTCTGATTTCTGGCCCCTGTGTTGATGTACGGCTAAATGTTCTGGGGTTTTGTTGGCCCGGGCTGTAGGCAGCGAGGCTTGCTGAGGCTTCCTGCCTTTGTAAGACCAGGAACGATGGGTGCGCTTGAAGTTTGTGACAGAGGAGATGAGTGAACAGGACATGCTGCGTTTTGGGAGTTTCCTCCTGGAAGTCTTAGAAATATGGCTATTGAGACAACTTCCAGGCACAGACATGAAAAAAAAAAAAAAGGTGACCAGTGCTGCCAAGATTGTACAAACCAGGTTTTGTGGCAGTGATGGGAGGCAAGGCGCTGGGGTAACTACATAGATAGTATGTTCTTTTCCTTGTCTCTAGCATTTATGTGCTAACTAGGGGCAAAACATGTAGTGCAAGCCCTATTTTTTTGCTTACACTGTGCATTTTTACTAACGTAACTGCTGATATTATACAGGTTAAAACTTCTCTGATCTGAAAAGCATGCTAGATTTTTGAAAAGCTGGGGGGAAGCAATTTATTGAGTGATGGCCAAGTGCATGAAATTAGTTTCTGATTATTGGTAAGGTGTCCATCTGCTTTGGCTGATGGGAACTGGTTCTCCTGCACCTGCAGGAGGTTAAATTAGTTCCCCTCCTCTAGAGCCTGCTTATTCCCTAAGCGTAGCTGGAAGCAGGTGTGTACCACAATCTGTGGGTGAAGAAGGCTGTGTGGGTTGAGTGATTATTGGTGAATGCAGCTGCCTGAAGGGAAAGAATCCATTTGAATTTGGGTTTTTTGTATGTTTTAAAAAGTTCTCATTCCACCTCTTTCCGTCTTCAGAAGCAGGCAAAGCCCAAGCAAGCTACCTGAAATCCCGTATCTTCTCACATTAAAACGAGTGGGCCCTGGAGGAGGTGAGCTGGTGCTGCGCCTGACCTGCGCCTTGCACTTCGCTGCAGGGAATTAGGAGCAGTGGGCGAGGGGTGAGCCTGGGGAAACACAAAGCACGAAGAGGTGGAATCTGCGCCCAAACCTTTGGAGGCACCGTCCCTTTGAAACCATCACCTTTCATAGAGAGGGGTTATTGTCCCCTGTCTCCAGTACATACCTGTGTGCAAGCTCCTTTATTTTCGGTAGGCCTTACTGCTCCTGTAATTAAGCTGGAGTTACTTTCTTTTGCAAAGAGAGGCTGTGAGAGAATGTAGCTGTTACACAAACCTGAGAGGAGAGGAAGAAAGAGACAGGAATTACTTAAACTGCTGTTTGCCCTGAGAACAAACAGTTACAATCGGGCTATGAAGTGCAAATAAGGTTTCCAAATCCCTGAGGAGCTGTATCTGCAATAGCTTTTGCAATAAGAGTGCTGGGGACACATCCTCCCTTTCTGGTTTTAAGTGAGAGTTTGAGACGTGGTTATTTGACATGGCAGCTTGTGGTAGGAGAGGATGGGACCAGTGACCTCTGACCTCAGTGTCTTTCTCAGGCCTGGATGGGGAGCTGAGTCCTTGGTTCACACCCAGGCCAGGTTCAGGTTGGAGATGATCATGGGATGGCTGCTCAGGGGACTCTGTGGGATGATCATAGCACTTGATCTGTTTCCCAGTTTGCCAGTGTCATGTCACAGAAGCAGCTTTGTGTGGATCCTGGTGCACATTCTTGTTGGCTGGTGGCTTTGGGTTAAACTTGAATGTAAATTCTTGGCTCCTCCTGGAAGCTTTTCCTTTTGATTCTGGCAAGGGGAGGATGGAGGCGCGTTCCCTCTGATGTGCACAGAGACCTGTAATTTGTGCTTTCAGTCTGGCGTCTCTTATGAAGTGCTCAGGAAGAGGATGTATCGTAGTCAATAGAGTAACTCTGTTTTCTGCAGTGTTTTCTCATGAGGGGGAATTAAACTGTGTTATTGCTCTTTTCCAGGGTTCCCCTCTGGCACTGATAGAGTTAATAGAAGCGGAGTCATTTTGATTCTGTGCTATTCTGCTGCTGTGTGTCTCCGAAAAGCCAAACACTGTGGCAGGCCTTTGTGCTGTGTCCTGGAAAGCAGGCTCGAGCCCTTGGGGTACGCTCGGTAAAGCTACATGGTGGTGGCTTTGACAAAGAGCCTTCCTTCCACTTGCCTGAGGAATGTGTGTGCCACACACAGCGTCTCGTTTGCTTCTGCTGAGAGTGATCTGTCTGTGTTGGGGTGGGACAGCGTTGCAGAAATGCTAGCAGGCTGCTGTGCTGCTTGAGTCTGTGGAAGCTGTTGGGTATGGGGATGGCAGAAAGGGATGCTCCATGCAGTTTTCTGGGCTTGCTGCATTCCAGCCAGCCTAAAGTTCTCAAGCAGCGTTGGAAACCCAGTGTGCTAGGGATTATGAGCGCAGTGGGCACCCTATTCATGCAGAATAGGAAGCAGTCCCTGCCCTGAACAGCTAACCAGCTTGAAAGCAAGAACAGATTCAGGCAAAACGCAAACCCAGAAGTGTGCCAAGCAGTAGGCTTGGCAGCATCACTCCATTATCTTCTTCTGTTGGACTGAGATGCTTGGCCTGAAGTGCTGACGCACATATGTAATTTGCGCCTTCTTTAACTCCGTGCGCATCTTTCTGGGAGTTTCTTCTTTGTTCTGCTCCATCCTCAATCTTGACTAGCTGAACGTAGAGAATTACTGCTGAGTAATACCTGCTTCTTGCTCCGCAGAGTGCAGTGTTACGTCTGCAGTTCCTCCAGCTCCTCTTCACGTGTAGAATGAGAGCCTGGCTTCAGGAAACACACAGCGTTTGGTGTTGCAGTGCAAAGCCACATGTTAGGCTGCAGCTACACTGAATTTCTGGCTCTCCCTACCTCCAAAGTATAAATAAATACACCAGGGTGGAAAAACCCTAAACCTTCAGTTCTGCGGTTTATGTCTTTTGGCACAAGCTGAGGTAATACTGTGATATGTAACTGTATCTGGTATTGTTACTGTTTGTTACTAAATTTTGATCTTTTGGTCTAGTGTTTGAAACGAGGACTTTATGAAAAACTGATATCCGAGGCCTAAGCACAGCCACACAGATGGCTCTTTAGACAAGTCATTCAGCACAAAGCTGCTGTGAGCTTCAAAGGCGCTGGGCACTTTTCCCCTGGGAATGACAGAACTCAGCACGTTTGCGTATCTGGACTCTCGCATCCCTGTACAGGGTGGGGTTGGTGCTCTTCCAGGATGGCTTGTGAACTGGCTGAGGAGCAACTTCTGTTTCCAGAGGAAGAGACCCCCAGTCTTCATTTTGAAAAAGTTTTTAGGGCAGCTTGCCCTGACATGGTTTTGCTTTCAGAGCTGGTGTTTGTAGGGTTTGTTTTGAAGTTATTGGAGAGAATGGGGATGTCTGTAGAAAGGGTGGCTCTTGGTTTTTTATCTATAGGTGCTGTTCTGTGTTTATAAGCAGGGGCTGGACTGTGCTTGGAGGGGAGGAGGAGATTAGAGTGACTACTTTTTGCTTGTGTTTTGATGTTAAACCTTCTAGAGAGAGACTGTAAAACAGCAAACCTTGGTTTCTCTCTCAAAATATCAGATAGCTGCTCCTCACTTTACTATGTTGTTCTTCCCTTGCTGCAGGCACTGGCTCCTTGATCACTTGAGGAGAGAACAAGGCTGATTTGCCAGCCTGCCTCTGTGCAGAACTAGAAAACGCATAGCAGCGTGGGGAGATGGATGTCACTTGAGGAGCTTGCTGGTGGAAAGGGGCTGGGAGTCAGCAAGGAAGCAGGTAGCAGTAAAAAGAGGGGACTGGCTGAAGTAAAAAAACCCAAACCTTATGCACCCTCTAGAAAAGATTTTCTGAGCTGCCCTTTCAGCAGTGATTTTTCTTCTGCCTTTGGCAATTGAGAGTTGTTAGGGATAAATGTGATAGAAATACAAATTACACTAAACCAGGAAAAGAGATCCTGTCTCAACAGAGTCCGGACATGGACAGAGATTTACCAGAGCATCTTTATTCTCAGAAATCATTCAGTTAAAAGTAACCATTTTTTCAGAATTTTACTGATGCATGGCTCTTGCTGGGGCTATGTCCCATTGAGGGTTTTTTGTAGGAAAACCATTTGTGTAATCTCTGTTCTTGACAAAATGAAGTAGCTATGAAGAAAGGTCATGGAGATGACATCTGCTGGGTGCCTTCACAGGTATTAGATAAGGTGGTGCGTTCAGGTCAGTGCTGTTCTCTCGACAGGGGCTTGCTTTAGCCACTAAGGCAACATCTTCAGCTATGTATTTATAACTCTGATAAGGTCGTTGTTTTCTGTACAGTGGTACAGCGCATGTTCATGGGGAGATGACACCACAACCTAAAATCATGGATTGATCCCTCTTTCTTCCTGTTGTGTGTTAGATCTGTTTAAAAATTAGGGAGGTCTGAATGGTGGTTGGCTCTGCATACTTTCTGTATACAGTTGTATTTTTTTTAATACCCTCAAACTTCCTTCTGTAAACTCTAGGCCTGAAATCTTTATTTTTTTAAATGAAAACAGAGCTTGTCTTGAAATCACATGACTCTAGAAGCTTGAGATTGATTTTAGAAAAACCATGATTGCTGTGGAAACTGGTAAAATTGTAATACATTATGCCTCCTTTTAGCCAGTCAAGCTCTTCTCCACGGACTCCCTATGGCTACCTCAGACTCACACAGCTCTCCCCATGTGGAAACAGATGGTCAGCCCTGCGACAAGTCATGATAGTGCAAGATCATTCTCTCTAAACCAGAGTGATTAAGGGTTCAACTAACTGTTTTTTTTTTTTCTGGTACCTTTCCAGGCACCTGGTCTGCAGCACCATGCTGGATCCCAAGCCTCACTCTGCAAGCCAGAGGTGAATCCAGGTGAAAGCCAGCTATCACAGTAGGTGTCAGGATGACCAAAGCACGGCTCCTCCGTCTCTCTGTGGTGCTGGTCTCCATCTTCATGATCCTCCTGATCATTGTGTACTGGGACAATGTGGGAACGGCTCACTTCTACCTGCATACGTCCTTCTCCAGGCCTCATTCCCCAGGAGGCATCCCTGGTATCACGGCAGGTGAAGACTGGGAAGCCTTGCCAGATGTAGATGAGTTTTTGGCAAAGCTGCTTAGTTCAAGCCTGAAACAGAATAGCTCTATCCCCCAAAAGACAGAGCAGCTGCTCGTCCAGGGCTCCAGCAAGCCTGTGGTGAGCAATTTGGAGGAGAACGTGCGGGGCTATGACTGGTCTACTCACAATGACAGAAACAGCTTGGACCAAGAGAAACTGCAGATAGAGAGGCAGAGAACGTTGCGAGAGTTTTGTGCCAATTCCAGCTTCAACTTCCCCAGCAAGGAGCGCTCCTTTGACGACATCCCAAACTATGAGCTCAACCACCTGATAGTGGATGACCGCCATGGCATCATCTACTGTTACGTCCCCAAGGTGGCTTGCACCAACTGGAAACGGGTGATGATTGTGCTTAGTGAGAGCCTGCTGGACCAGGGGGTCCCGTACCGGAACCCTCTGGATATCCCCCGGGAACACGTCCACAACACCAGCACCCACTTGACGTTCAACAAATTCTGGCGACGTTATGGGAAGTTCTCACGGCACCTCATGAAGATCAAGCTGAAGAAGTACACTAAGTTCCTCTTTGTACGAGACCCTTTTGTCCGCCTCATCTCTGCCTTTCGCAGCAAATTTGAGCTGGAGAATGAGGAGTTCTACCGGCGTTTTGCCATCCCCATGCTAAAGCTGTACTCCAACCATACCAACCTTCCCACATCTGTTAGTGAGGCCTTCGGGGCAGGCCTCAAAGTCTCTTTCTCTGACTTCATCCAGTACTTGCTGGATCCCAGGACAGAGAAGATGGTCCCCTTCAATGAGCACTGGAGGCAGATTTACCGTCTGTGTCATCCATGCCAGATAGACTATGATTTCATCGGAAAGCTGGAGACGCTGGATGAGGATGCTACTTACCTATTGCAGCTCCTCAAGGTGGACAGGCTGCTTCGCTTCCCCCCCAGCTACCGGAACAGGACTGCCAGCAGCTGGGAAGATAACTGGTTTGCCAAAATCCCACTGGCTTGGAGGCAGCAGCTCTACAAGCTTTATGAAGCAGATTTTGTATTGTTTGGCTACCCCAAGCCAGAAAACTTGCTTAAAGACTAGAAGTGATTGGGTCGTGGGTGTGGGAGGGAACATCTGAAATACCAAAAATGTTTAAAGCCTCCTCATTTTTGCTCTTAACTCCCTTCCCCATACAGGTTGATGCAATGGAATATATTTTTTCTACCGCTTCCCCTTCCATTTTTGCAATAATGCCAGAGTCCAGGGTATTCCAGCCAGCTGTGCATATGCAAAAAATGCCAGGTTTATTTGTTTTCTGTTTTTTAAAATGTCCCCATGTTTTGCAATGGGTCGCTGCCCTTGGTCACTCTGCCAGCTGTGTCCTTCAGTAGCTTTTTATTAATACTTTTTAAAAATTAATATATTTAAGATATTTAATACAAAGCGTGTGTCGTGGCAAAGGAAGGGAAGGAATAAAAACAAAAAAAGTAAAAGGAAAAACCCAAGAAATGATGCACCTGCCTCTGTGTGTTGTCTCAGGGCTGCTGTTTTGGAGGTCTGAGGTTTGAAGAGCACTCGGATCTCTTTGGGAGCTGGGTTTGTCGGTGGTGCCTTCACCAGCCACGTCTGCTGGTGGTCAGAGCTGATCAGATGGGTCAATGCCTGACTCTGCCAAACAGCCCTGGAAGAATACCAGTGCTCCGGTGATGTGTGCCGCTCGCAGCTGGTGAGCGTGGCGCCAGGGTCGCAGGAAGGAAGTGGCAGTTGGGGAGCAGTGACGCCAAGCCCCGGGGGGTGTTTCAGGATGTGTAGGTGGCCAACACAGCGCCTCTGCGCTGCTTCACCTTTCGGCAAAGTGGTGGTGGGACTCAACTTTCCAAAAAGCTGTGGTTCCTCAGCCCCTGTATACATTGCTGGTGTGGAGCTTCTTCCAGGGTGTGTCCCATTCCAGGACGGTGCCTGAAGTTCTTGGGGACTGTGGCCAGCCTGGATGGGCAGAGTGTGCTCTTGGATGGATGTGCTGTCCAGAAATTGGCATCCAGGCTTCACGCTGCAGTAGCTTAGGTGGAAGTGCCGGTCACCTTATCACAGCCTGGTTGGGGAGGTCGTGTGCTGCTCCGTGGCCTGGTCGCTGCTGCATAGACTGCAGGTCCCTTGAGAACTATGCTGTGTCCTCATTCCTATGCATGCTTTAAGGGGACGTGGCAGGGATGCAGATGCTTATTTCTGGAAGAAGATCTGAAAGGTTTCTTTCAATCAGCAGGCACCAAGGTGAACTCCAAGTTTATTTGTTTTCAGAGTGCCAGCTACTGCTCGTGACGCTGCATCCTCATCCGCTGCCTTTCTGTTTATACCAAATGACTGATGCAGATTTAATCATCTGCCTTGCTGGGACCTGCTGCAGGAGTGATGGTTGCCCACTGTGCTAGAAGCATGTGGGCTGCTTCCCAAAGGAAATTAATGCTTTTGGAAGAGACTTTTTGTGTCTCATCAGCTGAATCTGCTTCTCTTTTTCTCTCTGAATTGCTCTGCAAAAATTGTCTGCTTAGCAGATTGGGCTTGCAACTCTTTCAGAGCTGAAATGCTTAATTATTTGCCTGGGCTGTGGATGGTATCAGTGATTAAGGTCTAGGGTCAGGCCTTGGGAGGCAGCCTTATGTTTTGGGCAGACTTCTTTATATTGGCCTTTTACTCAGTTTCCCTCCGAGGCCATCAGCAGGCATGAATTTTCCCCTCTCTCCTTGCTTCCCCAACCTCTGTACACATACATCTTGGCATTGCATGCTCTTCCTAGTGAATATGCTGTCAAGCTTTTTAACCTATAAATGAAAGGTAATTGCTAGTAGTTATGCTCAAAATGAAGGGTTTGTTTCTCATTGTATTCACACCACTCTCCTGTAATTTCTGCAGAGTATTTGCAGTTTAAATGAGCCTGAGGCCATGATCAGGGTCTTGGTGCTTAGCTCTTCACAGCTTGAGGAAAAAGGAAGTGCCTGTTTCTGAGTCATTATTTAAAACTAATAATAGAAAAGTGTTGATCTATTCAATTTTTTTTCCAGTTACCAGCTAATTGTTGCAAAACAGAAAGATGTTGAGAATCTCATCTCCTGTAATGAGTAATCCCGGGAGTCTCTTGGTTCCTGCTACATTTACATTTCTTCAGGGTGGTTTCATCCCGCTGTTCAAAGATACGGCATGGATGTTTTCATCTCTTGTCTTTACAAAGTGTTTATTTTTTTCTCTTTCAATTTAAATTTAATTGATGTTTAGTATGTGTAGATGTGGGCGGCTGGGACCGTAGTGCTGATGCTGTGCAAACTTCCTTCCAGCTGCTTCCCCTGCACCTCTTGATCTGGTCCTGCCTCTTCCTGCCCCTCTGGCCAGTGCATCCCCGTGATGCCTGCCGCCTCCGCTGCAGTTGTCCTGGGAATCGTGGCCATGGCTTGTCCCAGGCAGGAGCCCAGGAGGATCTTTTCAAGGTTGCCAGCTGTCAGTCAGTCATCCGGGGCAGAGGAGGAATGGGTTGCAGAGTGTTACCATCAGTTTTGGCAGCAAGGTCCTGGCTGTGCAACTGGCAGAGAAGGTGCAAGGTGGCTGCAAATCCTGCACAGCAGCTGCTGTATGTGGTGTGAGAGTGTATCCTCTCCTTACGGCTGCCTTGTCATTTAACAGCAATCGAAGAAAAAGCTCTCCCTTCCCTTGTGGATGTTGGCTGGAGAGGGGAAACTTTGGACGCATTGATTTCTCTCCTCTGTCCCCATCCAAAGCTGGATAAAAAGGGTAAATTCCAGCGTTATGTACTAATACCACCCTGCATCACACTAAGGGCTGAAATCCCCCATGTGCGAGGCTCAGTGAGCTGCCTGCGTCCCCAGCGCTTCATCAGCCTCCCTAAGTGCTGCAGTCAGAATGTATGGATGGTGTAAGGCTGCTGAGTGCTCTGCCTTCTGTACTTTCCCTGTCACTTTGTGAAGTCCAGCCTTTGTTGACATGTAAGACATATTAATATTTGTAGACCCACAGCCAGCTAGCGCGCTAGGTGCTGCTGGCTCTCTCTCTTCATTTCCCATTGCCACGCTTAAAAGCACTTGCCGGGAGGAGCAGTAAAGCTCAGATGGCGAGGGTTCACGTCGCAGTGGATGGCTTCTGGGTTCCAAATAGCTTGTTCCTTGCTGCTCTTTCCTTTTGAAGCCCTCCTTCCCCACCCTTCTGCCGCTGTGAATGTATTGTTAGGAAGTCAAAGGGGGTCCAGGCTGTGCTGAGCTTTGTGGTAAGACCACTGGGTTGCCAGAACTGGGATGTAGCCTCTAGCTTTGGGAATGTGCATTTTTTGTGGGTTTTTTTTCCTCTCTTCTGATGATGTAAAAAGGAGGAGGAGGGGAGAGAAGGACAAAGAGTTCAACCAGCCATACTTCCTTCCCCCCTGGTTTCCTAAAGGAGTTGGAATTTGGTATTTGAAAAATAATGGCAGAATGATTGGAAAGGGCAGGCAGCATGCATCCGTGCTGGCTTGAAGTCCGAAGAGGGCTAAAAATCCTGGAGTATAGATTGTTATGATACTAGTACTGATTTTATAAGGGGTGGAAAAATGCTTTGAAGAAGCTTATTTGTGTCTGAATAAACCTAGCTTTGTCATTTCTTGCTAAGCCTGCAAAGTTGCATCCTGTTCCCCTTCTGGCTTGCTTTTTCCTAGGGTTGACCACTTGGCCAAAGTCAGCACAGAGTCTCTAACCAGGCAGAACTGATGTGCAGATGCAAAAATAACCTGGGGTTTGACCAAGATGTTTCCAGCTGGGTAGAACTGAGACCAGCTTTAGTGCTTGCTCAGCACCGGAGCCGAAGTCTTTACACAACCATTGAACAGATTCTGTCCCTTGCTGTTTGATGCTGGTTTCACTGCTATGGTGGGACGTGTGTCACTTGGCCCTGCAGCCCCTGCGTCCTCCAGGGAAGGCCTGTCAGGCCTCAGAGCTCTTTGATTTTTGAGCAGTGACACGGCTTTGCCAGGGTACAGCGTGTCCTTAATACACGGGTACCTTTGCATCTCAGTAGTTTTTGTCTTAACCTTTTAAATGACTTGTGGTTTTGGGGGACAAAATTGTAGACCCATTACCCACTGATAACAAAAATTTGCCTTGGGGTAATGTGTGAGATTAAGTGTTTTGGCTGTGTTGTTTTGCATCCCTCAAGGTGGCACTGGGAGGATGGAGGGCAGGGGATGAATGGCAGCATTGAAAGGGTGGTGAAGAAAAGCTAGTTTGTTCCTTCTTATGTAAGCGGGACCTTCGAGGCAGCCCGGGAAAGCCGGTGACTTGGCAGGGTGCTGCGTGGCTGTGGTGCAAAACGGTGCCAGGGAGGGTGCGGGGTGTGGCGACTTGCAAGCAAGATGTATCGCTTGAATTTAAGGGCTTGCCCACTCTGGTCTTCCTTGTAAACCCTCTAGTCAAGGGCAGGAGGGGTCAAAAAAAATAATTTAATGAAGCTATCGATACCTGTTCGTTTGAGGACGAGATGGGCAGGGTGGGTGGTGCTGGGTCTGGAGTAGGCATAATGCAGCTCTTCTGCTCTCGCATTGATTAAATCAAAGCAGGGGTCTAGCTTGGACTGTGGAGGTTGAAATCTGTCCTTGCAGGAGCTGGGTAGCATTTGGCCTGGGTGCTGTGGGAGAGCCCTGGGATGGGACGGGAGCGATGCTGGGCAGGGCGGCGAGGCTGGCTGAGCCTCTCGCCGCAGTCGCTGTGTCTGTGCCAGGCACTGTGTGAGCCGGGGCCGTGCAGCAGCTCCGCAGCAGCCCAGCTGAAACCCATTTTCTGTTCCTGGGCTCTGACAAACGCCGCTGCTGCTCCCCCCAGCCTGGCTCCTGTGGCAGCAGGGGTCTGTCTCTTACACCCGCTGTCGGCGGCATTCTCCGTCACCGGTGCCCTGTGAAACGATTGAGCAAAGCACAGCCAAAACCTGCAGTCAAGCTGTTGCACTCAAGCAGGAGCTTTTATTTGTGCAACCTGTGTTGCAGGCAGTGCCCAGCCTTCGGGTTGCAAAGGGCTGGAGAATGGGCATGTGCAAATACACTTAAGTGAGCGACACTTCCTCCTCCTGCCTTTGGGCTCACTGCTGGAGATGGGAATTGGGCTCTGCTGCCTTTTCCCTGCAAGACATGAAGCTCCTTTCCCTTTGTTTCTTCTCAATGTCCTCGTGTCTCGTACCACCAGTGTCCCCTCAAGCATCCTGACATGTCGCGTTGCCTTCCTGGGGGGCTGGCCATGGTGGCCTGATGGCCCTGCAGCCCCACTTTGTGTTTTGTGGTTTTTCCTTGTTCAGGGATGGCTTAAAATAAAATATTTGTAAAAAATATTTTTTAAAAATAATTAAAAGAAAAAGAAAAAGTAGCAGCTGATTCCTGTCAGGAGAGATTCCTGCCAGCAGTGGGAGGGTGATGCATCTGTTTGCCAGCGTGGGGGGTGCAAGGGTTTGGGCTCTTGCCACCGCCAGGCCACCAGAAACGCGGTGAATTC